CATCCTTGACATTGTCAATCTTGGTTCCCAAGGCTGTCTTGCGCCTGCGTAGCGCGTTGATGTCGTCGTCCAGCTTGGCCGCAGCTTCTCCTTTAGTCTCACCAGTATCTCGTTGCTGATAGGCTTGTTTCAATTGATCAGAGACTTGTTTGTGTTCCTGGAAGAGCTTCTGTGTCGCTTCTCGGTCGTTGCCGTTCGATGAGTCAACACCGAGGCGTTTATTGACAAGCTCTTCCAGGGTCACATCTTGTACACTGGCTTTAATGGCGTCTCCTCGACCTAAACGTACGATGTTGAGTTTGCGCGACTCGCCATTGAGGGTTTTGATGCCATCTTTGAAACGCATGACCAACTCGTCCACGGCCGCGTTACTGGGCGCGCAGACCAGTAGCTTCTTCTGAGCAGCATTCGAGTTTTGTTGGCCAGGAACAGCGATCGCAGTACCGCGGTTTCGAAGGCTATCGCTCAAGATAGCTCCTACAATAGCAGTGATGGTTTTCGTCTTTCCGGAACCGGGCGGTCTGTGGATATGGTTAGAAATTCACTCACTAATGTATGGATGTTGTGTCTTACCCTTGGATCAAAGTGAACGCATCATTGTCGATGGCGGATTTGATAGCTTTCGCTTGTGCCGGATTCACATTGTAATTAGAAATGAGTGGCTGGATCTGGCTATCCTTGTAGGTCAAAAGCGGAGAAGGCTTCGCCCGGATAATTTCGTCACACAGATCGTAATACTGGAGACCTTTCAGCGCACCGTACTCGCGCTCTAGAGATGTGATTGACTCGAGTTTGAAGCCCAGAATCGTATTGTTTGGTTGCAGTGCGGTCGAGAGAGGGTTACCAGGTACTACGCGGTACGAGACTTCGATGTGTTGCTGCTTTCTCTTCACACGGAACACCCTGGCGAGACATGTTGGCTCATCCGCAGAGGGTGACTTGGATTTGGCAAAGAGTATAATGTCACCTTCTGAGATGAAAACTTCCTTATTCTCAACATGAGTCATCGTACTGCCGACTTCTTGGAACATGTCGACAGCGGCTCGCGAAGTTAACCTTATTTCATAGGGCTTAGCTTGGTTCTCCTCACGAGCTTTGACGAAACCTTGCCATGCTTCTAGGGTCAGAAGCGGTTCGAAGGTATTTTGGTAATCGTTGGGTGTGCGGAAAGTACTGAGGACCTTGGAATACATGTCCGGCCGGGACTTGGGCGGGAACGGACCCTCGTGGAAGTAGTTCCAGCTGAGAATAGTTCGATGAAGGCTGCTCAGATCAGGCGCCAGACGAGCGCGCATATCTTTGGCAGAACGCTGAGCCCGCTTTTTCTTCGTCGGCATTTGGATTTTGACTTCGTTAACAATGTTTGTCTTGGGTCCAGTCTTGACTTTGGTCTTCTTGATGCCAAAGAGGTCTTCATCAATATCGCCTTCTTCGTCCGATGACTCGTCGGAAGAATGCATTAAGCCTTCTCCTTTTGCAGCCTGATCTTTGCCTAACACACCCAGGCCTTCAAGACCTGAGCCAGCTTCGGCAACGTGATTTGAGACGCCTCTAGCTGCCTTCAACTTAGCGATCGCAGCGGCCTTCTCTTTCTCTCGCTGTTGTAGTGCAAGCTGCCGCTTGCGTTTGAATTCGGCCTGTTGGGCACTCTTCTTATCGTCGAGAGCTTTCTGCTGGGCGGCCTTCGCTTCAGATGCTCTCATCTGCTCCCGTCGTTCCTGAAACTTACTAGATCCAGAAGTCATACTAGCAAGCAATTTTGCTTTGGCGTCTGCTGGTGATTGTGTCGCACCCGGAGCCATCCATTTGCTGATCATGGCTTGCTTGGGTTTTGCGGGCTCCTCTTCCTTCACGAGTGGGCGGCCGAGATGCTCCTCGAGCGCTTGTTGCAGCTCAGCCTGTTGCGTGTCGCTCAGCTTCGCGCGGACGTCTCCTGAGAGCACGCGTTCCATGTATGAAAGAGCGTTGGAATCAATGTCGATAGACACACGATGCAGCCGAACAAGAAGCTTGCTGATCAAAGTGACAGACTTGCTAGACAAGAACTCGTCACGAAGACGGAGCCATTTCGCCAGACCCTCCATGGCATTCGCCGGCTGTGCCAAAAGCTCTTTGAGGAGAGCGGTCTTCGATGTTGTTTCATCTTCATCGGAAGAAGGCGGCTTCAGGGCAGTAGCAAAGATGCTGCATTGGTCGAACAACACATCAGCAAATTGCATAGTGTCTCGGCAAAAGTCCATCATCATGTTTTTGTCGTAGAAACCCAAGTTGCTCCAGGCTTCAGTAGTGGCGAAAATCATCGTAAGTGAATCCCATAGATTCTCCCATAGATTCATCGTCGCTGCAGCATCACCAGAATCGTATTCACGGCCTCGCAAAATTCCGTCTTGAGAGTTGCAAATAATGTCGATGATATCTGTGCATGTTCGGATCATACTTGGTGCGGGTGCAAACGCCTTCTTGAGTCGAACCTGCCGAACTGAATCTGAGATACCCCGAACGACGTGCCTATAATGAGCTCTCAAGATGTGTTGCAAAGCGCCACGACGTTCCTCTTCTCCACTTATGACCTTCAACAGCTCGATAGCAGAGTTGCGCGTATCTTCTGTGGACGAGAACATCAGGGAAACGATGGCACTCGCTGCAGGCTGTTGTCCGAACAAGGCTTGTAATAGGGTGGGCTCAAATTCTGACATCTTCTCCACGACATCGGTGATTGATTGGGAGAGCAGCCGGAATCGATCGTTGAAGTGTCGTACCTCTGGGGGCACCTTGTCGACACCCGACTTCATCTGAAGTGGTTCGAGCCCGATCAGGCCCCTGCCAGCAATCAGAAGATGTGTTGCAAGCTCTAAGCTGTCTGGACCTATTGCTCGTAGAACTGTCTTCCATATAGGACTGGATGGCGGTGTTTGGGTGGGCGATGGTGCTTTTGCAGAGATAAGTTGCCTCTCGATAATGAGGGACTGTGCTTCTAGCTTGAACGCATGCTCGATCACCGAAAGGGTCAGTTGCATATCCTCTTGATTTTCCTTGTTGTGTTTGAAGTTTTTGAGGCTTGTGACGAGGGACTGTATGAAGGTTGATAGCAGATCCAGCATGCCGTTGACGGTTGGCTGCCCAACAAACTTGTCGATGCCTTTACCTTCTCCCATCTTGCGAAAGGTATAATCTAAAACTTTCAGACCTTCCTTGTAGCAGTAGGCTCGAGCCACTGGGGGATATCGATCAGACTGGAAGCGACCGAGCAACGCGTGTGCAAATGGCCGGACCGCTGGTCCAAGATTGGATAGCTTGATGGAGTCCAGGAAGACCGGAATCCAGCTGAAGGCAGCATGAAGGTTGTTCATATTCTGTTCGTTCCCCTCTGCAGTTGCGAGAAGGAGTTGATTCAGGATCGGGCTGTTGAACACTTGTTCTACCACTGTAGCGATTGAGGAAGTTACAGCATTCATGCCATCCCAGTAATCGATGGGGGATTTTTCTAGTAACTGCTTCATGGTCGCAATCAGATCCAGAAAGCCTTCGGACTTTAGTGAAAGGTGGTCAAGCATCAGACGGTAGAAGTCTCCGTCAAGGCCGCGCAACGAGTCGGTGATCAGCTCCCTGTCCATCTTTGCTACTATGAGCCGCATGCCGCCCCAAAAGAGTGGTACCACGGATAAATCCAGATTGCTCATTTGGACCTTCATCATGACACTTGTGACGTAATCCCGTACAGCCCACTCCCACTCGGACTTGAGTATATTCCGCTTGAAGGTAGACCAGGACTCTGTCGCCCATTTATGCCGCCTATCAACCCTAGAGAATAAGAAACGGGTCATGGCCGGAAGGTATGTCTGAATCTTCAGCCGCTTCTTCGTTTGGACCATGTCGAATGGTGCATCGAAGTGTCGTTGGAGGAGTTCCTCGTTCCGTACTAGAGCGTCGCAGCTGAGCGCTTCGAAGAAACCATATGTGCATTCGTTGGGCAGCAGGCGGACTGAGCGCGTCTTGGGCTCAGCTTTATTCAGTATCTCGTTGGCCTCGTCCAAGCCCTTTTGTATGCGACCCAGGCATTGGTTGTCTACTACTTGTAGAAAGTCCCCAATGTTGTCCTCGTCGTAAGAATCAATCAGCCGTGTTCGCCATTCTGCTCTGCTCTGGTGGAAGACTCTCACGCAGACATCGCAGCTTTGCATGAGGCTGTTGAGGCGGCTGACGAGCCATTCTTTGTGTGGCGCTGCTTCCTCCCCGTCGAAGGCCAATATCTCGGCTGCCTTGAGGGCTGTCCATTTCCGGTCTTCGGCAGCTAGAAGCTTGAGCTTGCGGTCGGCGAGTTCGTTGGCATCGGTTTCGGGCGGATACGCGGCAACGTCTTCATCGTAGTATACTGATCCGTCGTCGCCGACGCGAGGACAGAACAGATGCTGTTCTTCGGGTAGCTCTCGGAGCTCACTACAAGACACAAGATGGTTAGCCATGTCTGGTGTGGAAGGATTCCGATGGAAGGGAGCCCGAGTACTTACTTTATCTTTTCGAGAATCTCCGCCATGATCCCTCACCCAGGCCCGTCCTGGTTGTGACGCCCCGCTCACAATGTCTCAGAGGGATGACAGCACGCAATTCGGCATTGACCGCCCTCAGAGTCTCTACACTAGCACAGCGGAGTTGCACTTGTGTCTATCTATGAGATGCTATCTATCCTGCGAGGATCCGTCGCGCCCGTTCAATGCTTGACGCTGTAGTTGGACAAGGAGAGAGAGAGAGAAGCCGCGCAGGCCGTCGACGAGTCTTAAACGTATTAAGGAGCGTCGGTGAGAGAGCGTGCTAGGCTCAAAGGGGCGAGAGTGAGGGCGCGGACGACGGTGGTTGCGATGTGTTGCGCAGAAGAAAGGCACATGGCAGACGTCAGTGCATCTAAGAATCATCCCCCATGCAAACGCGACGCGATCCACTAGCGCCCCACTCGCGCGCGTTTGACTTGCCAAGCCTATTAACATTCCTCTTTCATCTCCACGGCAACTTGCACACATCACAAAACTGATATTTTAGACATGATTCCCGAATAAACTATGGACACTGAGCTCAGTGTATTTAGAATATGACATACTGTGCACGCGCACACAGTGTTGCTTCAACATCGCTCCTAATACCCAGGCAGATCCACGATTCTCGGAGCCGGGTTCACCCCTTCCTCCTTCCTTTCGCCGGCAACCACAAACTTCTTCCTCCCTCTAAACAGCCAATCTACACTGGCAATCAAAGCAACAATGGCATAGACAACGCACACATCTACACGTCCCGTCAGTGGTACACATATTAGCCCAAACGGCATCACTTACAGTTCATGTTCCCTGCCTCAACAGGCTTCGCATACGGAAACGAGTACATGATCAGTGTGAACAGTGTCCAGACAAGTAGTACAATATTCGCGAAGAGACCGACCGGACCGAGCCAGAATGGCCCGTGGGATATCTTGTCGCGACCGCGGATGAGAAGGCAGATGACCGGAACAGAGTAACTGAGGTACAGAAGAACGATACATGCCGTTATCATCCTACATCTCGTCAGCTTTGGTACCCATACACACGAACAGCAGGGTGTCCTACGAGTTAAAAGCTGTCAAAGAAGCCAGATACAGGCATCCCATGATAGCCACGATAACACAACTCACTAAGTGGGCGTTGAGCGGCACGTCAAGTCCTTCATGTACCTTGGCCAGCCAGCGATGAGCAGGAAGCCCCCGATCGCGCGCAAAACTCCAGCATAGTCGACTCTGCCAAGTATGACTTGCGACCAAGCAACCCAGTCCCGTAGCTATGATAAGCGCCTCAAGAACCGTCGCTCCAGCCTTACTCTGCAGCGCGCGAAAGAAAATCTCCAGAATAGGCACTCCAGTATCTGATGCGCCAATCTCAGCAAAGTCCCCTACAATCGAGAAGAAGATGCCGACGGAGAAGAACCAGCTCGTTACAAACCCAATCCCCACAGTTCCCATAATGGCTATTGGGACCATCTTCTCTGGCCGGTGTACTTCTTCGGCGAGATGCGTGGCGCAATCAAGGCAAGCGAAAGCCCAGTTTGTGTTCACGAGACCGACGATGAAGGCTATTCCATCTTGCTGCCAGCCGGTGTTATTGATAAAGGTCGCGAAGACGAAGCGAGCGTGCTGGTGTGTAGGCGCAACGGCTGGAACGGTGATGAGTATCACGGCGAAGGAAAGCAGTGAGATCCATAGTGTGGTTTTGCCGACTGTGGGAAGTATCTTGCCGTAGCAGTTGAAGAAGAAACAGAAGATGTTCGAGAGTTGGTAAGCCTAAACATCGGCGTACAAAGTCAGTATTTGTCTCGCATACAGTTCGTACAGGGACGTTACTTGCCAGGAAGACATGCCAGGGTTGAATGACACTGGGAGAATACTTAGTACATGTTTCTTAGACTTTCAAGGACCTCTCTAGATAAAGCGAAGGTATGGGAAAGAAGTGCTTACAAGTCAGGATGCCCAAGTTGATAACAACCCACTACCGCACTTCCCATAGCCAATGCTACAGACGCACTCGTAAACATAGCACCCCACCACGCCAACCATCCCGTCATGTAACTGGCGAGTCTTGTAAACCGTCTCGGCGCAAGTTCACCAGCCCAGAAGTACTGTCCACCCGCATTCGGCATCGCACTTGCCAGCTCGCTGAGACTGATACCCACGCAGGTCGAGATGAGAGCTATGAGCATAATGCCGTATATGACGAGCAGCGGGCCTCCAGAATTGATGCCAGTTATCAGAGCGGCTGATATACCGAACCAGGAGTTTGTGATTGAAAATCCGACGCCCAAAACGGACCAGACGGTGTACTTTCTCGCCATGTCTTGAGTGTAGCCCATCTCTGCTAGCTTGAGAGCGTCTGCATCAATGGAGGACTTGCCTTGTGTCTCTACATCGTGAGCGATGTGTGGAGTGGGATGTTTTTCTATCTTTGACTCCATGATTTCTGGATTTCTTTGGTGGTGCTGTTGACTTGAAAGCAATGCACGAGTGAGCGACGGGTAATATAGTCGGAGCAAGAAGCCACGCTGTTGAAGCAAGCACTTGGCAAAAAGGCTTATCGCATCGCGCCAAGTCGACAACACAGTAACTATAAAGCTTATATGCTTCTCATGATGAATGTCGCGGTCTGGGGGCGGGCTACGCCTGGGCGTAAGACGTGGGGTGATGAGCAGGGGAGAAAGCAACGCTAGATAAGAGATAGCGAATTGAGACAGCGAGGCAATAAAAGCAATCGTAAAAAAGGTATAGCGACGCCTAGATAGTCCGTGGTTTAAGGCCGGGAGTAGCACCGAAGTCAGGATTTCTATACCTGAAAAGCTTGGGCTCATATGCACGAGTTGTTCGAGTCGCTATGCGGGGAACATGTCCGGCTTGGCTTGGTTGTGCTCGGTGGTGGAATCGCATATCAACACTCGCATGTGTTTGAGTCGCGGATGTGGAGCTTTGCATTATATATTCTGATCAATGTTTGGGGGTGGTCCAGCTCTATGTGTCTGAACAGCAATCTAGAAGCACGACGAGATATTGGCGGAGATGTCAAGCCTAGAGGAACAAAGGTAGGTATAGCCGTCAAGGCCACATTCTCTACTGTCTTCGCGACGGCTGGCAGCCTTGTACTAGAAGAGATTGCAACCATTGTCTATCAGGTCGCGAGATTGAGCATCCAATGTGTTGTTAAGAAGTTCCAAAACAGTCTATAGCAATCGCTATCTTGACCAAGGTCGAAGGCCATGGTATGGTAGATAGAAGAAATGGACGTAAAAGTTACGTCTTCATTGCGGAATAGTATCTATACGCGCGATTATTAAAAGCCGGCATTAGCATGCTAAGGTGCGGGGATCGCTCGAAGAAGTAAAGAGGCCTGCTGCGGGTAGACATCCGCACCCGAGAGGCAGGATGACGCGTAGGGTAGCACAGAAGCAATCAACTCCCGACATCTTGTCAAATGGGATGCTACTAGGGGATAATGCCGAGGCAAGAGAATAGATAGCTTGAGGATCCTATGTAAACGCTACACAGACAACGTCAGGACTAACAGTAATGAGCAGCACTTGGTATCGAGGCAACGCGCAGAAGAGGTTGTGCAAAGCGTGAAGCTTTCAGTCACACTACATTGATGCTGTGTCTATCGGCGCAAAATGCAAGTAGCCATATGTATTTTCGGCGAATTTCTGCGGCGCGGTCCGTAGTTGTAACCTTGTGTTGTTTGGCAAGAGGAGATCAGCCCTATGACGACAGCTGTCAGCACCAAAACTACTCCTCTCTCGTATAAGCTTAAACCTCGCTCCCACATCTAAAATTTGTTTTAAACACGACGATATCAAGTAAGAAGAGGTAACGGGATCAGATCAGATTGCAGCAGTTACCGCCAATGATACGGAGAACGTCTTCACACTTACACAGCCCCATACGCTTGACTGTGGCGCTCTTTGCATCTCTTCAACAATCCCGTTCTAGGTATCCCAGCCTTCGAGATGTTTCCAAAGTAGTTGGTGGCGCAACCCGTCGCGTCGATCGACTGCCCATGTACCACACGCGTACCTTCTTGTGTAACATATCAGCCAAGTGCCGCAGTCACACAGTGACACGCTTGATGGAAGGATAATGCTGCGATCGTCACTCAGGTAGTCTTCATCGCAAGTAATCGAAGCAACGTCGAAAGGGGACGGTACCAGTGTTGCATTGGCTCTGGAAAGCTTCCCGGTACATCGAGTCGAACAGTGTGCGTGGTCACACCTACAACAGTGCAATCTAGAGGATGCACAAGCTAAGTGCGGTCGTACAATTACGGATGTGACATTTCCTCGAGGGCATGCTCGAGTCTCTAGTTCAGACAACAATAGCCTTGCTTTCAGCCGTTATCGAGCCGTCATCGGGGTAGCGCACGAGCCTATGGGTAACGTTGCACCTTCCTTTTTCCTGCGAAACAAACTTTGCTGTCCAGTAGAGAGAGGTAATAGGACATTTTGGAGTAGTCAAGCTTTGTGTATGTGTGTGGTGGATGTCTCCTGCTTTGCTGAGCCAAATGCCGCGATGACTATGAGGAAGGCATGTCGCAAGCTATCTGTTCAAGTCACGTCCAAGACAGGTCCGCGGACACTTCATGATTTTGAGTTGTGGTGGCAAGCTTATTCTCCCAGAAAGGCAAGTTCGGGCGACGAAATAGGAAGCAATGCCCAGACCCGACTAAGCTCTCACGGATAGCGGCCCACGAGGCTAGCTTTGAGTGAATTAACGCACTGAATTCGACCGAGACTATGGGTAGTGGTATAGATCTGGTCTAAACAGCACCTGGTAAATGTGACAGGAGATGCTGAATATGTTGATTGAGAGCAAATGACAAGAATAAAGAAACCACAGACTGCGCCAATATCCACGTAAGACGTACAGTCGTTCGGAAGTGCAACTGCATCCCCCCGACATTGCGTGCCCACATCATATCTTCTCACTCTCACTACACTGTCGCATGCGAAATCGCATACCATGCACCTACGTATTGCTTGTTGAGCGACACCGTGATTACTTTTGCCATTATGTGGGTATCCATATCCAGTTACTAATGCGCCTTCCGAGTAGTGACCTGCTACCGCGTGGGTAGAGTATGTGTGTATTAGGTTTAACCCAGCTTCTGGTCCTGGGGGTAGTGGCCACCAGGATGGCGGGGCATGCCTTGCTGCGCCATGGGATACTGGTTTGACTGCTGCTGCTGTTGTTGGAGGTAGCTCTGGTAGTGCAGAGCAGCCTCGGGCGTCATGTAGGCTTGGGGCATGGCTTGGTTGTTAGGCGGCATGCCGCGTGGCTGGCCAGGCGGTACTTGGGCGTGGTTGTCCTCTGGCGATTCGACAGTGTCGTTGTCGACGCCATTTGCGTCGCCGCTTGATGGCTCGGGAGCGTTGAGACAGGCCTGCGGGGTGTTAGTGACGCGACGCGACAGCTTGGGCGGTGGCTGCAGCATACCTGGATGAGGTTCTTGCCCTCTGGCTTGGTGACTAGCGGTTGCAGCTTGGGTGTGGTAAAGGTGTAGACAAGACCAGTCTCGGAGACGACGAGCAGCAGCACTTGGGTGCCTGTCAGGACAGACAATTCGTAGGCCTGGGAGTGCCATGGTTAGCGGAGCGCTCGGTGCAGGCAACGGTTTCATGCGACGCGGGAGCAAATGCACCACGATGCGCGCTCAACGAGCACCAACGTACCTTCTTCATGATACCAGCCTTGCGCTTGGAGAAGGTGATGTGCCGACGCGACTTGTCTTGGATGAACTTGATCTCAATCTTTCTTCGCTCGCGGCCGGGCTTGTCATCATCGTCGTCGTCGTCGTCGGCAGCGGCGCGCGCACGCTTGACGCCGCGGTTCTCCATGCCCATGGTGCCATTGCCGTCGTCGTGGACTGACGGCGACGCGTTCTGGTCGTGCTCGGTGATTTCGCTGGCCATGGTGGTGAGTCGCGACAAAGATTGGTTACCCGCAGTGTTTGGGGGACGAGGGCCCTAAGCTGTGTTGGGCCGAGTGTGGGGAGTTGGCAGGCGTTCTTGCGTGGTTTGGGCAGACGCGCAAAATGTTACAGAAGGAACTGCAGACGGCTTGAGTTGGGTTAGACTCTTAGGACGACCTCATACGGAAAAGGAAGCGCGGCCTGTTAAAAGATCGGGGCTGGTCCCTTTGTGATGGCGCAGCAGGAATGCAAGGAAAAGGTGCGCGGGGGAGGAAACGCTTGGTCGCACTGTGCTCGGTGGAAGGCACTAAATTACTCGGGGGGCCCGTGCTGCGCCAGTGGCTGGGGGGTGCTTGTGGAAGGGCTTGGTGCCGGAGAGCGTGACCTCGCGACAGAGGGCGGGCTGGGAGAGCGAAAAGGGTACGTACCTGGCCAAACGCACAGCGAGATCAGGTGCGGCGTGCTTTGTTTTCGCGCGCCGTTGGGTGGGTAGCAAAAAGACAGGTCGAGTGGTTTCCCGAACCCTGAGCTTGTGGAGCTTGGCGGGCACGCAGGGACAGACGGAGTGGTGCAGGTGTGTTATAGCCCGAGAGCTGTCTGAGGAAGGAAAGGGACGAACGGTATTGGGAATGAAACGGCGGGAGTGGTCAAGTATTTCTCTCGACGGCTGCTTTGGCTGCTTTGGTGCGGGCAGGCCCTCAACTATCCACACAACTGGGGGCGGATGCGCTTGAGCGCGACCCTGGTCACAGCTCTGAGTCGCAGATCGACAATAATTGCCCTGGACGGAGGCCCTGGACTGAGGTTTCGCGCCGCGCATGAAGGCACAATCTGCAGCGCAGCATGCCTTTTGTGCTGATACTGACTTTGACCCCTTCCCACTAGACCTTTGGCCTGTCAGGTCGTTTTTGGAGATGAACAGCAGCGGCCTTTCCACATGAAAAGTGCGCCGTCCATCTCAGGCCGAGGGCTGCGCTAGAGGCAGCTGAGCAGGACCCCGGTGTTTTGTATCATGTTGATTGGTGGAAAGACTGCGCTAGTCCCGCTCAAGTCAGATTGACGGTCAACTGGTGAAGGTCGGTTGCCCACTCTCCGGGCTTACAGGCCACGGTACGAGATGCTTGGGGGCAGTCGAGGAACGACTAAGCTGCAGGCCAGACTCGTCGTACCGAGTGGTTCGCACCGTCCTTCCCATTGTATTCTTTGCCCTGGACGCAGGCGTCGACTGTACCGCTGTTTGCCCTGTTCATGATAGGAGTGGGTCGTCGTGGGTGTCGTGGAAGCCGCGGCTGCACCTAGGCAAGACCAAGCAAGTACCACCCTTACGCACCTTCCCCGTTTGATCTCGCTTCGCTTGCAGCGACGGTCTAGCCTGCTCCCTCATCCTGCCCGCCTGCACTGTTGGTGGCGCCGGCCCTGAGGCAGCAGCTCGATTCTCAACACCATCGCGCCTCGTGACAACCATAATGCCGCGGCTCCACCATCTGGTTCCATGTAGCCTGCCATCGACACTTCGTCGCACTTCTTCTAACATTGTGCTTGTTCCCACTCCACCTCTGCGGCTCACCGACGTCGCAGCGCCAAAACATCGAACCATCATGCCTGTTCCCGTCTGTGATTGGCCACCCGCAATGCTCCAACACTACTGAAACCACCCACGCATCGCCGTGCTCCAACTGCGACGCGCCCTCGCAGTGCTTCTTAATGCTCATAGTCCCCGTGTCCCCGAATGCCATGCATTTTCCGCGCGAGCGCTGGTCTTGCTACTTTCTCTTCACTTCTATCTAATAATTCTCCTTGCTCGACGCAGTTCACCAGAGTACGCCGGACGGCTCCGCTGCGCTCGACTTCCATTCTTTGCTTCAATCCTTCTTTTTGATTTCACTTCAGTCTCTTCCGTCAAGCCGCAAGTCGCAGTACCGCCAACATGCCGACCAAGTTGATGATGGCCTTTGTTGGCATGGACCTACTCTTTGCCGGATGCGGAGGACTGTTGCTGGGCTTCTCCCTCATATCTGAGCAATCGATGCGCGCCACTCCGACCGTAGACAACGTCACACAGAACCTACTGCTCGGCCAGTGTCCCTTGACAGGTACGACATTTATGAATGGGCCATGGTAGTAATGCTGGGGGAATCGATATCCTGGCACTACTGTGGCGGCGCATTGTCCCACGCATCGCCCTGGAACATGCGGTTTTGGCAAACATCAACTAACAACTTATCCAGCTGGCGTAGTCAATGCAATCTTCGTCTTTGTCACATTCTTGCTGTCTCTCCCAGCCCTTTTTCTACCAACGAATCGAGGTTGGCTCCGTACTCAGGGCTGGTTGGTAGTCATCTGCGCGACCTTCACACTTGGTCTTGGTATCGCTATCTGGGTAGAGACACTACAAACCCGCACGAACCTCAGCGTCCTTTGGGGACGCGAGACGCCGCTTATCCAAAGTCTTTTGCAACAGAAGGTGAGTTGCCTCGATGATCAGCGTCAGCACTAGAAGCGTCCATCCGTACACAATCATGTGGGGAGGCTTAGCAGCCCTGCAAGAATACATCATGATCTACAGAAAGAAGCTGACAAGTAACAGTTCGACTGCTGCGGTTACGTCAACTCAACCACGCCTCCGTTCGTGCAGGATAGCACATGCCAAAACACCCTAGTCGCCGCTCAGAAGGGAGGATGCATTGGTAAATTCTCCTCTTTCGCCAATACATATCTAGATCGAGTGTTCACTGCCGCCTTCGGTATCGTCGGTATCGACATGATCCTTGTGCTTTGTGTCGCCATGGTCCTCAAGTATCGCATGGAGCAGGAACGCTACAGGCACATTGACGAGAAGAACGGACTGGGTGGGCTATAGACGATTGAAGAATCTAAAACAGAAAGAAGAGGGTTTTGGAAGAGCCGGCCAAGCCAAGTCAACGAACACACATGTCAATCGAACGACTCTTTCTTTCCCCCCATAGTCTACAGCTGGTGATGTGGAAGTAATGACGGAGGTCCCAGCAGTGCTGATGCTCCATACGGCAAGCTTTCTAGGTCTTTGATTCGGTATCTTATTGTTTTTGCATTTAGCGTTCTCATGTATATAGATCTGGATACGACTCCGTTAATATAGTTTCACGACTCTTCTCGCATGGCGAGTGTACATGAATTATAGACTTCACATGGACGGTATATCGTAAACCGATGACTTGGACGTGATTGCACTCATGGCCCCAGCATCCCAGAAACGGCTCTCTCCAACAACTGACCATCGCCCCATCAGCCTCATCTCAAACCAGCTCAAAACCAAACACCAAACTAGCCAAGCCTCACTACACCTGTCACTTTGCACCACCATTCCACTTTTCGCCGTTCCCTCACCGGCAACAACGCTAAACCTCTTTTTCCACTTCCCACTTTACTTTTAACAAGGACCATCCCGCATGCCGCCAAACCGTTCATCGGCAAACGGCAACCTAGTTCAAACTCGGAAACTGCTATCCGAAATACAACGGCAGCCTCCAGGGCTGATACACAATACCAAGGAACCCGAACGCACTGGCATGCAAGAGACATGGTAGCAAGCACCTGCGGACGGCAAGTACGCTGGCTAGGCCTAGGGTGGTTTACCCACCGGTACATTCATTGACAGCATGTGGGAGGGATGTCGCGCGCGCGGTATTTATTTATTGTAGGGCTAGCAGACGATGCGATGTGTCTTCACTGGACTAGGCGCGCATATCGCGGTATTCACCCATCATGAGATCTAACTCACGCAACGAACACCCCTTAGCCTATGACCGACGCTCCGAAATGTTGTTTGTGGCTTCACGAGCCCGGCATTCTGGCGCGAAATCCGAACCGAGGCGATTTTCGCTTTGTAGGCGGCCCCCGAATAACGCTGATTCGCATCTCCATCACACCGCCTCAGATAGCGAGTCAGCAATTTGCGTGCGCCACAGCTCTCATGCCTGTCAGACATTTCCCACCTGCAGCCGTCATTGCAAGCGTACCCGTGCCGCAAGCCCACCTAGTAATCTATCGCTGTATCGCATCTCTACACGTGGTATTCACGGCACTCTCTGGCCCAGTCACTTGCTTCGTCATTTCGTTCTTGAGCACTACACAGCACGCACGTTCGCACGTACAGTAGTTATATGAGTAAGCCGCCTCATCGCCTTGACTGGCTCGCTCGCTCTCCGACGCCCCGTAATGCAATGTGACAGGAGGAGATGAACTCGTTTCTGGGCCGCGACCGAGCTTCTGCGGACATCAGCTGGATCGAAAAGAGCTACCTGCATAGTTTTCTCTCTCTTCTAGACCCTTGACGCTAGCCGCTAATTTTCGAAGGATTGCAGATTGCAGCGCGTGAAATTGAACTTGGTCTGATATTTCCTGCGAGGCGACGCGGTAGAGCGGAGCGTGAGTTTTAGTTCTCCTGTAGATCCCCCCTGAAGGATGTAGCGGGATGGTATGCCAAGTGCTGTGCCAACGTTGATGCAGGTTTCAGGGGTCACGAGGAGATGAGGTTGCGCGGGGTGCGACAAGTTGCTTGAAACCTTTCACGAAAGCAAGTAGAGGGATGATATGGTTGTGATAGTGTTGAATGCCCGCAAAGGCGAGTATTATGGTATGGCCTGCATATAACTCGGTAGTATCGGCAAAGCCTTTGTCAAGTCTTTGTGGAATCCGCGACGTCTGACAACACGTCGTCCTCTCCATCGAAGATGCCACGTAATGGTGCTGGGGTGCAGTTCTGCATTCTTTTCGTGAAGAACTTGCTGACTTTGAGCTGTGTATCCTCGTCATCATTCCCAAACACGTTGTGAGCCTTCTTTCCGCCTATCCGTACGGCGTGCTCAAGTCGTGCGCGTAGTCTCTCTATAGAATCCTTCGTGTCCATGATGGTCAAATCCACTACAGCGCCAGCTTCGACAATAGAATTACCAAGTAGCTGAAATTCTCGAGCAAGTGCATCCACCTGGTTGTTGAAGTCTCTCACCTCAGATGACGCAGGTACTGGAGCGCTGACTGGAGAAGAGCCTGCTTCTGAAGTCGTTGGACTTGATAGGGGTTGGTAAGGAACGTCCAATAAACCGGGCCCAATAGCGATGTCAAGAAGAGCCAAACGTGCAGCGAGATGACTGTAGTTCGTATTCTTGTTTACTTGGAAACTTGGCGAGTTCTTCATATGCTTGTAGATGATGTCGGAAACCTTCGGGTCCGAAAGTGGCACGTCGACTGGAGTCGGGTGAACTAGAAATGCGAGGGCCAGATGACGTTGCAAATATGCTGTCAACGGTGATGTCGTTGGAAAAGAACGAATCAAGTTTCTTTGGAGCAAAGGATGCGTCACTTTTGCAAGTAGTTGAGAGACGACATCGCTGAGCTGTGTAGATATTAGAGTGTGAGTGTTGTGTTGTAGTGAAGGGCGCCCTACAGTAGAGGCCAGCTTGTGGTTGTTAGCAAAGCTGCATACAATAGCTCCCATAGCGTCCTGTATGGTGTGCAGAATGGCAGCATCTGCCATGACTCTATCATCAAGACACACGTGGCTGAGTATGTATAGCGCACGACTTCGAGTTTCCGATTGCAAGCTGTAAAGAATCAGTAAAGCCCTTTCCTCATACATAGTCTGCCTACCATGGTGCTGCTCGCTCAAGCAGCTTGGCGATAGAGATTAAAGGCAGCGGAAGCGAGACTCTGGTTTCGGATCGTGGTACAAAGACCGGCGTAAGTTCGGTTGACGCTTCGAGTTGTGCCATATCAGCGCCTATCTCCCTAAACAATGTTTCTAGTCTTGTACGGTCAAGAAGCGTGTAGAGATGCTTATTATGTTTTTCAGACTGTAAACGGTCAAATGTTGCCATGAGTTGAGAATAGATGGGACCTTACCTCCAGGATTTCGATATACCTGTAATTGAGCGCCTCATTCCGACTCGAGGAAACTACAAATCTTAGCAGGTGCAAGTGTGCCGTTTGTGTATTACTAACTCTGATCAATCATCCAAGAAGCTAGCTCTGGAGGCAGCTTTTGTAGATGAAATATCTGTTGAGCGAAGCCGGTCATGAAAGCTTGATCCCTGGCGTACGAGTCTTGAACATGTTAATGACTGACGCGACGTAACAGTATAGAAGCTCTACCTTCAAAGTTCGATACCCATCGATGGTTGGGTAAGCTTCTGATGGGAAATGCGGCCCGCATTGGAATCGAGTTCGAGTCTGAGTTGTCTTTGAAAAAATGGAAAGTGCTTTCTAGCTGCGTAGCGTTCGTTCTCTGCATAGCCTGGAAGAGGCGGTGCGCCTTTTCCGGATCATCATCATCATCTACGACTTGGCCAAGCGTCTCTTCGTTTATTGTAATGGATGCATTCACGGGTATCTCCAGAGGTGTCTCGAGAGCAGTCTTGTGTTCCAGGATCTGTCGCTCTGTTTCCCGGTTCTTCTGGGCTGTTTGTACCAGTGCGCTGAAGTTGATCCTGTCGCCTTTCGCCTTCTTAACGGGCTTGCGTAATCCATCTACTTGATCTTCGGATATGCGTTTTGAATGTGTCGTGGTCATGGTAGTCAAGGCCTTGACTTTTGTCACAGGTATACCAAAGTCCAAGTCGGGAAGCGAGTCATCGTCAGAGTCGGAATTCAAGACCATCTGCTGACCATTTGACTCTATTCGCCTGCTTGTGCCTGAATTTGCGGATGTCTGAGAGGGGTTGAAGGGCGGCGCATCGGCACTTGCAGCTCTTGTTGTTGGAGGCGCGGTCGAAACGGAGGGGTTCGACGAGGAAAGTGGGGGGTGAGTGACGTGCGAGACGGCGTCGGGGAGGGCTGCAGACGATTTTGGAGGGTTAGACTGACGGGTAGGCGCATTTTTTGCATCTGCAGCGGTGGGATGGGTCAGCCTGAGGCAGCAAGTCTCAGACGGCAGGGAGCATGTACTTCTCTGGGGCAGGGTCGATTGCGAAGCAGCAGCACTTTGAGAATTTGTTGGTACGGGAGAGAAGAAGTCTCGGATGCTTTTCTTGTGGGGTTTCATAGCGGAGAATAATAGAGGGGTGGTGATGTTGACGAGTGGGGGTGGTGCAACCTTGCGACGACGCGTGAGGCGTTTCCAGGCTGGATGCTAGACATGATGCGCGGCACGCTGTCACGTGGCTGGCGACAACTTCACCCGGAGCTAAGTATCTGGGCGCAATCCGCCAACGCCTGGCTGCAGATGGGCTAGATTCATTTACCGTTGACGACACGCATCGGAATGCGAGTTCGCCGGCATCCGTATGTCGCGGGAAGCTGGTCAACTCTACACTGCAGAATATTCGTCGCCGCATCCGAGCTATGCCGCCGGCGCTGAGTGGTGACGTCCTGTTTCAACGGTTTCGCATTGCCCTCTCTACGCTGGCCTGCGACATGTTATATTAAGCACATGGGATACGGCTCTAGAAGCTTCATTAATCCGGGTGCCAGCTGTCCAAAGTCACTTGTACGAAGCACAGAGCTCGAGGATCTCCCGGCTACGACGACATAGACAGCCGGGTCGAGAGACGAGGGAGGGCTGAAATGACGCTCCACCCTGGGTGGTTGCTTAGAAGGGCTGCTGACTGGAGCCCGCGGATGCTCCGCTATGATTAGTCCTCGGACGGTCCAAGCTGACATGGCTGAAGCAGACCAAGACCTTCCCAGAGTGCGAAGAGCGTTGTTGATGCTGTTATCCGCCGCCCAGAGGAACTGAGATGGGGATGTGCACTTCATCTACTCTCTCTGTCTCTGCAGGCCCAGGCCACGCGTCGCCAACGCGATTGACAGAAATAAATCCTCCTGTGTTGGTGCGTGAAATGATCAGATCGCAGTGCGGGCCCTTCAAGGGGAACTAGTCTCGCATCTTGTTAAGACCGTAGCGTCCGGCCGAGGGAGTGTGAGGCGTGTGCTTCCCGCGCCGATGCTGTAAGCATATGGAAGCAACTAAAGCCCAGCAACGCATCAATCATTCATCAGGGTCTGCGCAGTACTTGCCGCTCCGCTGCCTTCCCCTCGTGCTGATTCTCCACGGCCCTGCA